GTGTGTGAAGTGTGGGTATTTCCAACTTATGCAGTCTATGGAATGTGAGGGAAAAGGAGGGGAAATAAATAAAAAATACCAATAATAATGATAACAGCACTATTAAAAAAATCAGCTTGTTACATTTCTATAGGTTGGTGGGAATGTGTGTGGCCTCAGCCCCAGGTATTTGATTCAAGTTGAAATGTGTTAAAAATGGGTTCCATGTGTCATAAAAAACAAATAAACTATTCTTGTGAGTGGATGCCATTTTCTCTGTGATGTATTCTATCAGAAGGTTGGTCCAGTGGTTTATGTGTAGTGATTTTTTTTTTTTTTATTTTATTTTTTTTATTTCCAGTTCTGAAAAACTTTTTCTTGGCAATAGCTAGAGAAATGAGGAGTGGGTTTTTATATTTAATTGGTAGGTTGTCGATTTCTATGATATTACTGAGTAACCAAAGTGATGGAGAAGGAGGGATTCTACAGCCCAAGATGGTGGAGAGTTTCTCTGTCACTGCTATCCAAAGGGAATGAACTGGTTGGCAGGTCCAAGTAGCATTAAAATAATTGTTGGTGCAATCTAGAATGCATTGTGAGCAAATGCCTATGTCAGTGAAACCCATTTTGAACATTTTACTTTCTGTAACATGGGTCCTATAGATGGTCTTGTATTGTTTAAGTTGTAAGTTTACATTGCTGGTTATAGGAAAGATGTTGCAAATTTCTGTCCAGAAGTCGGAGCTGAGGGACAGAGTTAAACCATTTTCCCCATTTGAGTTTTGGTATTGTTATTGTTGAATCTGTATTTGATATGAGTTTATATAGCTTGGATATTTTCTTGGAATCTGTAATTTTCATAATCTCAAATTAATTTGGAGGGTTGTAGTGGGTTATTGGTTACACTAATCTTTGACATAATTATGGATTTTAGTTGATTGTACTGGAGGAACTGTTCTCTCTGATCTCCATACTTCTGGATCAGTGTATTAAATGATATGACCTGGTTATTTTCAAATTATCTCAGAAAATAGAGAACTTTCCATTAATCTGTGAGATTAAGACTGGGCGAATGTTTAAATCCCATATCATCATCTCATACCACTCACCTAAATTCTAAAGGTATCTGACGATGAGGAATTAAAAGTAAGCCGGTCCAGTCCAACAGAGAGTCAGTGTCTAGAGTAAACAAATTACCTCTCAGGAACGAAAACATGGTATTTGTTAGTGGTTTTCAGAATCAGCTTTATTGGCCAGGTGTGACGGACACACGAGGAATTTGACTCGGGTACATCGGCTCTCAATGTGCAAACAGTAAACCAGCATAAGGCTGTGTAATATAACAAAATAAGCAGTATAAACAAGCAACAAACAGTGCAAACAATGCAGAAAGCAGTATAAACAGGCAGTAAACAATGCAGACAGAGGAATGTCCATTGAAATGAGATAAATAGGGATAAAACATACAAGTCTGTATAATCTGTGTGAGGTATATTTACAGGTATTTCACTGAGGGTTATTGTCAATCATACATTATATATGAAGGGGTCAACATCATGTCTTCGATGGGTGTTGGCTACTCTCTCTATTTCTCTTAAATCAGCTCTAGACATGCACTTTGCAGCCACTGCTCGGAAGGCCCCCATAGCCAGGGTGTGTCCAGCAGTGGCAGTGCCTAATTTACGGAGCCAGGCCATAGCTCCACCAGTCAAGGGAGGTATCTGATTGACAATCACCTGCAGGTCCCCAAAGGTATAGGGGCGATATTTATCCTGCCCCAATAGGCTCACACCAATTACCTTTTCTGCATGCCCCAGCCCAGCATCCACCAGGGGATAAACAGTAACCAATGAATGTTCACTGTCCTCCTCCTCTTCGTCTTTTGGCAAATGCTCATTAATTTTTCTTTCAAGTCTGTCTACCGCCATAACAAGTTTCTGTTCTATGTCATTGAGACTCTTCTCCATATCTAGCACATTAGGATTATCAGGTAACTTACCTCTTTCATCAGAGCCATCAAGTTTTCCCATTAATTCAGACACCTGGCGCTCTGATGCTTGTAAACCTCTGTCCAAGCTGATTTTGTCCTGTCTAAGCCTAAGTACGGGTAAGGTGGGAGGGTTCTTCCTGAAGTCCACTGTCATCTCTACTGTTTTGAGCTTGTTTAGCTCCAGGACCGCCATCTGTCAGCCTCATTATTATTAAAGTTGGAGTATTCCCTGTCCTTCCTATGTTCCTTAGACCAATGATCGTTGTGCCATCTGCAAACTTTAGGAGCTTGACAGAGGGGTCCTTTGAGATGCAGTCGTTGGTGTAGAGTGAAAAAAGCAGATGGGAGAGCACACATCCCTGGGGGGCACCTGTGCTTTTTGTCCGGGTGCTGGATGTGGTTTTCACCAGCCTCACCTGCTGCTTCCTGTCTGTCAAAGCTGGTGATCCACTGACAGGTGGGGGCAGGCACAGTGAGCTGGGTCAGTTTGGAGTGGAGGATGTCCGGGATGATGGTGTTGAATGCTGAAAGAGGACTCGTGCATTGGTCCTTGGGGAGTCAAGGTGTTGCAGGATGTAATGCAGTGCCATATTCACTGCTTCTGTTGGCATGCATATGCTCATGTTGATGAAATATTGAACTAGAAACTTGTTTTATTTACAGAAGAAAGACTTTTTAGCCCTTTTGCAACAGTGATACCCTCGTGTAGGTTTCTTGGGTACAACTTTTCCTCCCAAACCACTGATTGAAGAAAACACCACTCATAAAACATGATCAACATTATGTGTAATTCTTCTAAAATCACTTATTTGCTTGTTTCATGGCATTAGATTGAACAAGGTTTTTTAAAACCACAGCTTATGTGAGTTTTCTGTGTTTTTCTTATGTGTTTTGACTTCTTCAGTCTCCACTGTAGAAAACTGAAGGGCTAATGCTGTGATTGGTATAGTGGTTTAGGATAATAATGTGGCTTAGTGCGACAAGCCCCCCCCCCCCCCCACCCACCGCCGCTCACACGCCAACG